TCCCCCCTTCCCAAGGCTACTTGAAGAGCAAGGGGCTAAGGTAGAGAGCAGGGGCAGCATGCTGGGGACTGAACCAGTGCCAGGTCCCAGAGGACCCAGCAGAGCCTGCTGGAGCCAGTCAGGCGGGAGATGGCAGGCAAAGGCCTATGGGAGAAAGTGATTCTGAAAGTTGTCTCTTCCTTGCACACGGTCCAGAAAGCAAATGAAAAAAAAAAAAAAAAAAAACAGTTGGCCATCAGAAAATACAGAAATGTGAGTTCTTAGCAGTTGGAGCTCCTTGGATTTGCTGATGACAAAACGCATTGCCTAATCTTTCCTGTTCCTTCTTTCTTCTCCTTTGACCTTTCTGCATGTCTGTAGAGCTCCCATGGCTACAACTTCGACGTGGCAGAATACATATTTGCAGGTTAAGCCAGCTAAATATAGGCTTTCCTTTAAAGCACTTGAGGATTTGGAGATATCTTTGCTGTGTCCCACCCCATCCCCCCATCCCCACAATACACACATACAGAGAGAGAGAGAGAGAGAGAGAGAGAGAGAGAGAGAGAGAGAGAGAGAGAGAGATGCCTCCCTAGTCTCCAAGAAGCATGTGGTCTTTACAAGGTTATACAGGGTGCTAGAGTAGAGTATGAGACTTATGGGAAGAAAGCCAGTAGCCAGAAAAGGAAAAAAACAAAACAGGCAGTGGCTATCTCCCAGCTGTGGGAAGAAGGGATCCACAGTTCCTCTCTCTGCAGGTGCAGTGATAGACTTTAGGAATAAAAGACCCTTTGGGAAGTTTAGAAGAAAGGTCACCTTCAAAACTTCTCTCAGGGCAGGGGTGTAGTTAAGAGATGTAACTTTCCTAGCATGCTTGAGGCCCTGGGTTCAGTCTCTACCAGGGCAACAGGAAATGATTCAGGATTTGGAGGAGCCACAGGCAGGAATGCTTATATAGCACTTTCACAAAATGGACCTTGAAAAGAAGCAGAGGCCCAGTGCCTCATGAAAATAGACGCAAGAGCTGTAGACACTGGAGCTCACCCTCAGCCACGTACCTGCCCACACTCTTGTATGCACACCCCCTGATACATGCTCCAATACACGTGCCTCCTGTGGCAGTGGCAGCCCACACTCTGAGCGCCAGCCTCTGTGCTTTCTGCATTCAGGGTCTCTTTAGTGCCCTCAGCAACTCCTTGAGGTTGGGATATTGTCTCCGGCTTACAAATGAAGAGATCTGGCAAAGTCCTTGAAGTGGCAGCTTGGTGGGGGTGTGTTCTAACAAAAATGGCCTGATTTCAAAGCCCTGTTCCAGCCTGTGCCTCCCAGGAAGTAGGAGATACCCAGGGTCATCCATGATCAGAAGATTTTAGACATTCAGGCTGAGCATGTTAGGAACTGAGGAATCCAAAATAACTAGCCCAAGGTCATCAAGCAAATGGGAGGAGCTAGTACTCAGCTCAGACCTGCAGAACCCTAGCTGGGACTCTTAACTGTGTGAATCATAACTCACTCCTTCCTGCTCCCAGGGACTCGGAACCCCCTAGGACTCTAACTCCTCACCACCACCCCACACAGGCACTGCCACGCTGGGTGAGCTCTCCTATTTGGAATGTGGGTACACAAGCATATCCTCCTTGGATCCCAGAACTAACTCAAGGCTCTAGCCAAACAAAGGAGAGGAACTGGGGTGAACCTTATTGACGAACAATAGAACATTCAAAGGGCAGGGTCTAGATCAGCTTCCTCAATGATGACAGTGGCCACAAACAAACAAACAAACAAACAAAAATTGCTTTCAGAAGTTGTCTCAAAGGCCCTGGGCTGGCGAGAGCAGCCAGCCTTGGCACCCAGCCCATGCCTGAGCCCAGGGAGCTGAAGACTGGGACTTATCGTACATCAGACTTTTCCCCACCCGTCTTCTTCTCCATCTTTGCTGTTATACCTGTCATTTAAAGCCAGCAAGCCTCCAGGCATATCATCAAAGAGCACCTTCTGAGAGGGCCCTCGTGAGAAACAAGGGCGTTCGAGCCAGGAGAGAGGGAGGATTATCATTGCCTGTTGCAGTTTCTATCATTTAGCCATTGCCGGGGAGGCTTCTCCTTCCCCTACACAGGATCATAAGTTTCTGGGCTGCTGGCACCTCTCCCAGGCCTCAGTTCATCCCTTTGGAGCACAGAGGAGATAGGTGACTTCCGCAAGGTCACCCAGACAATAAGGGGTATAGCCAAGACCTAAATCCAGGATCCTGGCTCGACTTTGGGAACTACTTCATTCCCCAGAAATACGTTTCTTGTATTTCTCTATACAGGAAAAAGGAATGGAAGAAACGACCATCCCAACACCACCAGGTACACTGATGATGGTGTCAACAGTTTCTTCTACAAGGGCCCTGGGGATACCAAAAGTTTCAAATTATCCTGGGGTGCTAAACAGGCAAGAATCTGTGAACATTACAGCCCAAGGAATAAAAGTTTACCTCGGACAGGCAGGGACAGGATGGAGGTGACACCCTGTGCCCCACCCATCTCTTAGGCAGTTTGTGTCTGAGTCCAAGGAAAGAGGGATGGTAAATCAGTTACTACTCACTACCTTAAAGCTTTTTCAGAAATTCCATCTGGGAGCCCATGAAATAATCATCTCTACTCACTAGCGGCTTACCCAAGCTCCATGCTCACCCAACTTTCTCATGTCTCAAAGCCCTTTAAAGGAGTTTTACTCTGAAAAATCACTGGACAAGGGAGACCTGTGGGTACCCATAAATCCAGTTCATCCAAAATTTCTGCCAAGGGTGTTGGGAAAGGGGCTAACCAGCTGGTTCTCAATCCCTCCTCCCACCTGGCCAGGAGTGTGGGTACAGACCCCTTGGGCTGGGGCCAGTTAAAAATGACTCACCACAAAGGGTGTGGGAGATTCTGGGCAGAACACCCAGGGCCCTGGGCCCTCCCCCAGTCCACGAAGGAACTCTTAAGAACACTGCTCAGATTCCCAACTGGCAGTGGGGTGAGCAGAAGGGCATCGCCCAACCTCCACAGTGGGAGCTGGGGGATGCAACACAGTTGCTAAAATGCTTTGCTTAGCAGGTAGGAAGCCCTGGGTTAGAGTAACTGCTCAAGCCTGTAATTCCAACACTCAGGAGGTGGCCGCAGATGGATCAGAAAAGTTCAAGGTCATCTTTGGCTAAATGTTTAGTTCGAAGCCAGCACAGGATACTGCAGATCCTTCTTCAAAAAACAAGCAACCAACTGCCATAGTCGGGTGGGTTAGGGTGGAGGGCTCAAGCTCCAGCCTTGAATTTGAAGACAAGTCCTAACGCTTGTTCACGAAAGAGGGCTTCTAAGATGGGTCAGGAGGGGAGCAGGAACCTGGATGGCTTCTTTACCCTACACAGATCCCCAAATGCAGAACTGGGGAGAGAAAAGTCTCCTGTCCACTGTGCAAAAATGTAGAGGGCATCTGAAAGCTTGAGATCTGGGTTCATCTCCGGCTCCAGATGAGAGCCAAAAATGTTCCCTCTCCTGGCACACTACTCTAGGGAGCCAGTCCAGTGGTTCTTGGCTCCTCCCCATCCCAATCTTCAGGGTTCCCAGGCGGTTTCCCCACGTCCCATCCCCCACGCACGGAGCTCTTTCGCACGTGCCAAGGGTTTAGTGTCCCACAAAACACACACACTGAGAACGGAAGGGTGTGTGTGGGGTCCTCCATGAGCTAGGCCAGGCTAACCAGAGGGAGTGAGAAAACGGGAAGAGGAGGAAGAGGATGGAGGGGAAGAGGGCGGGGGAGGAGGCAGAGGCCGCAGGAAGGCCTGAGATGCAGGAAGCAGCTGGGGAGGGGGGGGAGGCTTTGTGCCTGAGTTGTTTTCTGGGTCCTAGTGTCCACCCCGTTCAGTTCCTGGGAATCAACCGACTGACTGGGGCTACACATCTAAACCTGAACACTGGATGGATCCTCACTACTAGGTTTCAGACTATTGGGGAAGAATAAAGGGCATAACAAGGCCCCTTGCTGTGTATGTGAGGAATGAAGGCGCTCTAAAGAAGCTGAGTTTTCAAGATGGGATTTGTGGGGACACACACACACACACACACACACACGCAAACACACTTGCACACAAGTGACCAGAATCCTTTAAGTCCGAGACCCAGCGTAGAACTTTCAATAGGGAAACTTTGGCCCTAGGCCTCTAGAATCATTGCTTCAAACCTCCCACAACATCTTCCAAATCTTCCTGTCTCAGAGATGGTTCTCTTCTGGCAGGTCATGAAGGCCAGGATCCTATACCTCTCCCCAAGTGGGTAGGTGAAGAATGTCATCTTAAGATTTCCAAAGGCAAAAAGCAGCTTTGGTAATCTCCTGCCATATGGGTGATGTACTCCCCAACCCTGTCCCTTTCTTCATTTCTCCTCCCCACAGAGCACCACAAAGATGGTTGGGCCATAGTCTTACATCCTGAAGATTTAAAAAAAAAAAAAAATCCCTATGGTGAGTTATTAAAATGAAGAATCCCAGGTCCCGCCCCTAAGATTCCCCTTCACCAACTTTGGGAAGGAGCTAGAAATATGTGCTTTGATCTAGAACCCCAAAGTCTTGATAGCCCTGAACACTCTAAGGATCTTTAAGGAAATGATTATGGGCCCTCCACACAGAACCCCTTCACTTTGTGGGAGGAGAAGGCCAGCTCCAAGACTGCTGTGGCTAGATGGCTCCCCGCCCCCAGGGTTAAATGAGGGGACGCCTATGTGGCTTGTGAAAAGCCTCCGAGTTTGGGATGGGAGGGTTGAAGAAGAATAGCCAAGGTCCGAGAAGCTGCGGAAGGCTGTCCGCCAACTATGAGTAGGAGAGACCAGGCGACAGGGTGGAAGGGAAGGGGAGGGCTCACAGGCTCCGGCCCCGGAAATCCTATCCCTTTAGGACCCAGTGGTACCAGTCCCCCAGCGGCGGCGGCGAGAAGGGCAGCCGCTCGGTCTCCCGCAGCCGCGGTTCGGGCAGAGCTAGAGAAAGACCGAGGCTCGGGGCGCGGGGGGGAGGGAGGGAGGGAGGGAGGCGCGGCGGAGCGGCCCGGGTCAGCGGAGCAGTCACGGGCGCGGGGATGCCGGGCACCCCGAGAGCCAAGGCCCCCGGCCGGAGTAGGGGGCGCCTGCGCCGCCAGCGCCGCTGACACCGCCTCGAAGGATGTGAGCCGGTGCCGCGGCCGCTGCTTCGCGGGCTGGGCTCGCGGTCCCAGCGGCTCCAGCCAGCCTCCGCTTCTTCAATTTGGGTGGGGGCGACCGCACCAGGCCGCTAGAGCTTTCGAAGGGGGCTGGCTGTCTTTGGCAGCTTGGTTGGGGGAGGCGACCCACACAGGGCGCTCGGAGATTTTTTTTTTTTTTTAAAGCAGGGTTAACTGTTTTTTGGCAGCTTGGTTTCAGGGGGACTCTATAGAAGGCCTTTCGGGATTTCTTTCTTTAGGGGGAGGGGGCGGTGGTCCCGACTTGGCCAGCCGCCTGCTGGAGGGGGTCAGCGGGGAGCGGGGGGATGCGAACCCGGCTCCCCCAACCATGATGAAGACGGAGCCTCGGGGGCCCGGGGGTCCCCTCCGGAGCGCCTCCCCGCACCGCAGCGCCTACGAAGCGGGCATCCAGGCACTAAAGCCTCCCGATGCGCCGGGGCCCGACGAGACACCCAAGGCGGCCCACCATAAGAAATATGGCTCCAACGTCCACCGCATCAAAAGTATGTTCCTGCAGATGGGCACCACCGCGGGGCCGGCGGGTGAGGCAGGCGGCGGCGCAGGCATGGCCGAGGCCCCACGGGCGTCGGATCGCGGCGTGCGCCTGTCCCTGCCGCGGGCCAGCAGCCTGAACGAGAACGTGGACCACAGTGCCCTGCTCAAGCTGGGCACCAGTGTGTCGGAGCGCGTGAGCCGCTTCGACTCCAAGCCCGCGCCCTCGGCGCAGCCCGCTCCGCTGCCGCACCCGCCGTCCCGGCTGCAGGAGACGCGGAAGCTGTTCGAACGGAGCGTCCCCGCGGCCTCCGGTGGCGACAAGGAGGCCGTGGCGCGGCGGCTGCTGAGGCAGGAGCGCGCCGGCCTGCAGGACCGGAAGCTGGACGTCGTGGTTCGCTTTAACGGCAGCACCGAGGCTCTGGACAAGCTGGATGCTGACGCCGTGTCGCCGACGGTCAGCCAGCTCAGTGCGGTCTTCGAGAAAGCCGACTCGAGGACCGGCCTTCACCGTGCACCCGGGCCCCCTCGGGCCGCGGGGGCGCCCCAGGTCAACTCGAAGCTGGTCACTAAGCGGTCCCGGGTGTTCCAGCCACCGCCGCCGCCTCCCGCCCCGTCTGGAGATGCCGCGACCGAGAAAGAGCGTGGCCCCGGAGGGCAGCAGCCCCCACAGCACCGGGTGGCCCCTGCCCGACCTCCACCTAAGCCGCGGGAGGTGCGCAAGATCAAGCCGGTGGAGGTTGAGGAAAGTGGGGAGTCTGAGGCTGAGTCGGCTCCCGGGGAAGTGATCCAGGCCGAGGTGACCGTCCATGCAGCCTTGGAGAATGGCAGTACCTCGGCCACAACAGCCAGCCCTGCACCCGAGGAACCTAAGGGTGAAGCGGTCCCCGAGGAGGAGACAGCGTCGGCGTCAGTGGCGACGCTAGAGAGGGGGTTGGACAATGGCCGGGCCCCGGACATGGCACCTGAGGAGGTGGATGAATCCAAGAAGGAGGACTTCTCGGAAGCGGACTTGGTAGACGTGAGCGCCTACAGTGGACTCGGGGAGGACTCTGGGGGCAGTGCCCTGGAGGAGGACGATGAAGAAGACGAGGAGGATGGGGAGCCCCCCTACGAGCCGGAGTCAGGGTGTGTGGAGATTCCCGGGCTCTCAGAGGAGGAGGACCCGGCCCCGAGCCGGAAGATCCATTTCAGCACTGCACCGATCCAAGTGAGTGATCCCCCTTGGGCCCCCCGAGCTGCCCCTGCCACGTGCATGTGGTCTCTCCCGCCCAGATATCCGTGTTTGGCAGGCTGAGTCAGCCCCTGCCACCCAGCCGGGTTCCCAGAAGTTTCCACAATGAGGGAGGCGTGGGGGAACTTCCAGCTGTTTGTCAGAGTGGGAAGGTTTTCAGGTCTGTGATTGTGAAGCTGGCCTGCTGCGACCTGCCCTCAGGTTCCTAACCCCGCCCAGCATCCCTCCCTGCTCCACGCCTACTCTGGGACACCTGCTCTCCCTTCCTCCCTGAGACATTCTTTCTTCCAGAAGCTGCCAGAGGCTGGGACTTGGCTGGCCTGAAGGGGTGTGGGACATGTCCTGGGGATACAGTTCCTACACATGCCCTGTTGTCAGGAAGAGAAAGATGGGGAGCTTAGGGACACTTCCTGCTTCTGGATGTGTGAGGCTGTCTCTATGGGGTGAGAGAAAGGGGAGCTAGGAACTTCCCCAAACAAAGATGCAGAGGGAGGCTGCTCTTCTTCCCTGACAGTACCCCAGCTTCAACTTTGCAGAAGTGAAAGAAGGAAGCAGACTTCAAGGATGAGCTGGTCCATGGATGGCCATGTGACTGGGGCTGGGGGAGAGACCCTACACCTTAGGGTCTGTGTTGGGCCAGCTTCCCGTATCCAGGGTTGTACAGGAAAGGGGCATCTTATGTAGTCCTTAAAGGAGCAGGCCCTACAGGAAGAGGGCGGTGAATCTAGAAGTTCCCCTAAGGTGCCTGGCAGACTTTCATGCCTGTAGCCCTGGGAATCCTTCCTCTTTCCATTTTTTCTATGTACTTTAAAAGAGGCTTGGGGCTTGCTGGGGGGCGGTAGTAGAACCCCCTTTCTCTAACACCACTATTGGTGATTGGTTTGTGAACTGTACCAGTCAGCGCTTTGAGATCCTTTGAGTAGTGGTGGTAGAGAAAAGATGTCCCCTGGGGAGAATTAAGAACAGGAGACCACTCCCATTTCCCCCTGCCCTGTGAGCCCAGCTGCCACATCCAGCTTTAATGGTCTGTTCTTCCCTACCCAAGCCTGAGCCTAGCACCTGGCCTGCCCCAGTGGGAGTATACAGCACCAAGGACTTTTTCTTGGCCTAGACCCTGCTCCTCCTTGCCCTCTGAAGCCAAAACCCATGTGTTTACTTGCAGTTTCCATAGCTACTACTGGACACCAGAGCTGCCCAAGTTTCTCTCACTCTCCACCTCCTCCTTTCCCCCAGGCCAGCAGAGGTCCAGAAGGTTAAGGGTGGCCAGCCCCTTACCCCTCCCTCCCTGGGGGTTTGGAAGACTTCCCTGTGAAGGCGGTGGGATCCAGGAAGGAGTAGAGGCTGTTGGGAGGGTGTCAGAAGCAGTTGTTGCATCCCCATGGGGTTTTTGAGCAGCCCCATGCCCTCATAGAGAGGGAATGTGGTCTGGGCCTCTGTCTATATCTGACGCCTTACCCTGATTTTTTGGTAAAAAATAGCACATGATTTGGAGCAGTGCTCTGGACTCCCTGGTGACTCTGAAGCAAGCTGGCCACTAGCGTGAGAGCCAAGGCAGTGCAGAGGCTCCACGTGTCTGACTTTTGGCCTCACTGGGGCTTTCGTCCTCCCCAGCCTGGCCAGGGCCCCAGGCTTTTCTCCTCTGCCACCTCCACACTGTTTCTGAAGCCAGGGTTCTCTGCCCCTCCCTGACCCAGTTATCACCATTATGGAGGTTAGGGTATCTGCTCAGGGCAGAGGATATGATTCCAAACTGTCAGCCAAAGAGATAGCTGAACCCAGGGCCTTCTGATAAGAGGAATGACTGGTGGTCGCGGGCCTCTGAGCCTGAGGCCTGCCTGGGATTCCCACAGCAGGGAGGACGCAAAAGGTGAACAGATTGTGAACAGAAGACAAGGCCTAGGTCAGGCCTCCAGAGTGTTTTGGGAGTCAGAGTGGAGTGTGTGTTTGGAAGTGAGGAGGGGTTGGTTGACTAGGAGAGGGCTGGGGGACACTGTCTCTGGGCACAGGGTAAAGGCCAAAGGCCTTAGGTGAAGAGATGGGACAAGGCCAGTTTGCTGACCCAGGCTTATGCCACTCTTTGGTCCTAAAGCTTGGAACACCTTTGCATCAGGGATAAGTCACTAGTGACCCGCCTACCACAGCCCATCTAGAATCTGGTGCTGCCCTGCTACTGGATAAGCAGCCCCCATGACCTTGGGTAATAGATTCCATGTGGAATTGAGAGTCTGTGGCTTCAGGGCTGGAACTGCTAGCCAGATGTTGGGGAACAGTCTGTTGGCCATTGCACAGTAGCTGGATGAGCATGAAAGTGCCCGATACAGTAGAGTCTAGAGCATTAGCTAGGTGAGCACGTAAACCCCGGCTGTGCTGCTAGCTGGTCCTCTCTACCTGCCACCATGGCAGCGTACCTCTGTGATGAGACTGGAGGTTTGGATTCAGTAAGCCCCAACAAAGGAGTAACCTGCCTACAGGTTGCCCACAAGCATGCTCCTGGAGCAGAGGAGATGCTGGCACAGATCTTGCTGGAGACAGTGTCTTCCTCTAATCTTTCTGGCCCGTCCAGCTGATAAGAGCTGCTTCTACCTCTCCTGCCCTCACTTGACTTCAGAGATGCCAACCTAGCTAGCAGTAAAGCCAAGACAAACAAACAAACAAACCCACCATGGTTCCTCCAAGTGAGCATCAGGTACTCACAAAGCCCTGACTCCCTGACTCCTTTTGGTTGATCCTATGAAGAGGTCGGAGTTAGACCCTAGAAGAAGAGAATCAGCAGAGGGGCACAGGGAACACTGCAAGGCCAGGCAGACTGCCACTGAACATGATCCTTGGTCCCTTTAGAGCCCCAGTCTTGGGGCCTGTGCCTTGCTCTTCCATTACCTGTGGACAGGGGTACTGTTCTTCAGAGACACAGTTCTGAAATGTGGGAGGGCCATTGGGGCTCCACTTTCTCCCCATCTCTTGCTCTCTGAGACTCTGAGGTCTACCTGGAATTTAACAGCCTTCCCTTCTCCATGGAAGTAGGAGTAGAAGGAGCTTCTCTGCTTCCTCCCCACCCCTCTCTGGCCATCCACTTCAGCGTCTGAGCAGGGAAGGGTCCTGGTGCCTTTGCCTCTTTCCTCCTTCCCTCCTGTACCCATCCCCCTCCCCATCTGGCATCCTCCAGTGTCTTCTCCATCCTTCCTCCCCTCCTCCTCTTCCTGTCTTCTGTTCAGCCTGTTCCTCCTCTGTGTCCACCCTCAACTGTCTGGCTCTTAGGTCTTGTCTCTTCCTTTGTCCCTGCCCTGGTATTGGAGATTCCCAGACCTTGCAGTCTCCCTGGGAGTGTCCATCTGGTCCTCCCGAGACTGTACCACGAAGAAAGGATCTTTTGCTCTCTCGCTCCTGGGACTCTAGAACTAGGAAGCCATTTGCTGGGAGCTGGATTCCTTGTGAGATCAGTGTAAGGGAAAGGCCTCTGGACAGACATGGGGATTCAAGTGACTCAGCTGGCCCAAGGGCCTTCTCCTGCCAATGTGCTCTTGCACTCCTGTGGACCTAAGAGCTGCACCTCCCCAGGTATTTAGCACCTACTCCAACGAGGACTATGACCGACGCAACGAGGACGTGGATCCCATGGCGGCCTCTGCGGAATATGAACTAGAGAAGCGAGTGGAGAGGTTGGAACTGTTTCCTGTGGAGCTGGAGAAGGGTGAGAGACCAGGCCAATCTTAGACACACACTGGGGTCTTCCGTGGTGCTAGCCTCTGCCCTGCTACCTCTGTGGGTAACCACATGCTAGACTTCTTGACTCCAGCACCTAGACTTGCCTTTCTTGGCATTCCTTTTCCGCACCAATAGCCACTGGTGTCTCCAGTGTATTGCCAAGGGATGATACTCGGGCGACATATCTCCTAAGTACAGTGTAGGTGGTCCTGGGCTCTATTGGAGGCACAGAGATAGGTAAAAGCAGGCTCCCAGGGAGATGGCTCCTCTAATTTCAGCCGTATGTGCCGTCATATGTGCTGGGAGGAAAGGGAGGCTGTGTTTGATAGAAGCTCACCAAGGGAGTACGCTCGAAAGTGAGCTCCTCAGAGCTGAGCTTTAAAGAGGAGCCATTTGGAAAGTGGGGTTAAATGGAGAGGTACGCTCGGCATAGAATGAGTGCCTGGGCAGGGTGGCATGGAGCATGGTGAGAGCATAGTCATTTCTGAGACGGAGTGGGAGCTATTGTAGGGTCAGGGAAAACTTTCTATTCTAGAAAGTTCCACAGTGGGCTGGAGAGATGGCTCAGTGGTTAAGAGCACTGACTGCACTTCCAGAGGTCCTGAGTTCAAATCCCAGCAACCACATGGTGGCTCACAACCATCTGTAATGAGATCTGATGCCCTCTTCTGGTGTGTCTGAAGACAGCTACAGTGTATTCATATATAATAAATAAATCTTAAAAAAAAAAAAAAAAAAAAGTTCCATAGTGTCTGGGCAATGGTGGCTCATGCCTTTGGAAGGCAGAGGCAGGCGGATCTCTTGAGTTCTAGGTCAGACTGGTCTACAGAGCGAGTTCCAGGACAGCCAAGGCTACAGAGAAGCCTTGTCTTGGGGGTGGGGAAAGAAAAAGAAAAGGAAGAAAAAAAAAGAAAAGAAAGATCACTGTGGCATAGGTACAGGGAGGGGTCACAGTGGATGACAGACTCCCACAGTGGGGTCAGCAATCGCTTAGTGGAAGTGGATGCACTCACTGGGCAGGAACAATCAACAGTGCCTAGTGGGCACTTGACTTAGCAGAGCCTGGAGCTGGAAGAGAGAAATCTGGCTGCTTCCCAGGCCTGGCATCTCATGGGTAGAGGTGCCTGTCCTCACGGAGTGTTCATGGGCAAGGTCATATGACTAGATGCTAGAGGTCCTCGGGTCGGGCAGTGCAGGTGTAGCTAGGCAGTGGGTATCCATGTTTAGTCACTGAAGCTCTGGGCTTGGAAGAGAATAATTAGAGACCAAAGGCTAAGGGCTAAGTCCTGGCTCAGTCCCCATCCCTGCCACACAGCCTTATCTGTATGCACAGCAGTCTGCCACACCCCAGCCACCCCTCACACGCCCTGCTGTCTGTCAGCTCACAGGATAGGGCAAAGGGCAGGAAGTAACCCATAGGAGTTAGCCTGGCAAAAGGGAGGTGGGTGGAGCCATAGTTCTTTCCCATCATGGGGTGACTCCTAAGCTTGGGGAATGCTTATGAAAAGGGAGTGGGTATAGGGTAGAGGCTCCCTGTCAGCTATGGCTTTCCTCCTTCTGCCTCACAGACTCAGAGGGCCTGGGCATCAGCATCATTGGCATGGGTGCCGGAGCCGACATGGGCCTGGAGAAGCTGGGCATCTTCGTCAAGACTGTGACTGAGGGTGGTGCAGCCCATCGGGATGGCAGGTACCACCCTCCTTCAACTCCCTTCCCCCTCCTTCAAGTCTGTTTTGGCAGTCATCATGGGGTGGGGGGCTGCAGCCTCTGGGAGGCCTGTGTGTGTTGTGTGTGTCTCTTCGGATGTTCATGGAGCACCGCTGTGCAGGTGCTGTGCCAGGCTTTGGGGTGACAGCCGCGAACAGATGGAAGCCCTCCCCAGGGCCTCACACATTCTGTGGGGGAGGGGTGTGAACCTCGGCTGTACCTAGTACGGTGCGTACTGGCTTAGGGGGTGTGTTGGCCCTAGTAGGGAGAACATGGGCTGCGTGTCTGGAATAAGGCTTCAAATTTCTTTCCCTTAACAAATACTGAGGGCCTAACTCACACTGGGTTGGTGCCAGGCCCTGGCAGTCAGTGTAGAGGGCCTTACCCTCAGAAAACAAGCAGTGTAGTAAAGTAGACAGATAACAGACAGAACAAACAAACCGGATGAATGGGGAGGAATATATGAAGGCCCAAAGTAGGAGGGCCTAGCCGGGAGTGGTGGCACATGCCTTTAATACCAGCACTTGGGAAGCAGAGGCAAGCAGAGGCAGTTGAATTTCTGTGAGTTTGAGGCCAGCCTAGTCTACAAAGAGAGTTCTAAGACAGCCAGGGCTGTTACACAGAGAAACCCTGTCTCAACAAAACAAACAAAAAAGTAGGAGGGTCTGGCCACTCTGATGAGGTGGGCTTCTTGGAGGAAGTGATACTGAAAAGACCGGGAGGCTAGGTAGGAACTAGCAAGGCCAGGTGAGTATATAAAAGGTTCCTTGTGGGTGTAGTGGCCTAAGCCCTTAATTCTAGAACTCAGGAGGGAGAGGCTGGCGGATCTCTGAGTTTGAAGCCAGCCTGGTCTACAGAGTGGGTGCCCAGATAGCCAGGACTGCATACTGAGATTCTGTCTTGGAAAATAAAATAAAAACAACCAAAAATAAATAGATAAATAGAGATGAAAGATTCCTTGTGAACACAGAGCCTCATGCATGCAGCGCTAGCATTCTGTCAGCTGTATGTCCCCAGCCTGAGTGGAAGGGGTTCCCAGGGGGAAACCAATGGGGCAGGAGTGTAGAGAGCCAGGGATCCAGGGATGGATAGGATTGGGCTAGTTGTGGCCATGTTTTGGAGCTGAGGTTGCTCATTATATGTGCATAGGTGTGGTGTGCCTGTGCGGAACGTCTATGGCCAGAGGCCTAGGGTTCTGTAAGTCAGAAGGCTGCTCTCTGCCAGATTTTCTCCTGCGTGTGTAGCCGGGGAGGAAGTGGGAACGGCTATAAGGCTTTCCCTCAGGATAGCTGTGAAGGGTTGACACCCACACCCCCTCCACGTGACAGGGAAGAGTAGTGAGGGCTGGGTTACTGTAGGGTCATGTTAGAGGCATGGGTGCCCAATTCAGAGGGCTTTTGCTTGCTGTGGCGTAGGTGGCATGAGATCAGCAGGGACAGAAAGGATGGCATCCTTCCTGGCACTTCCCTGCCTTTCCAGAGCTGGGCCACTGCTGCCTGTTTGCTAGCAAAGCAGGTGAGTGAGCATTACGGGCGAGTGCCCACGTGAGAACATGGCCTGTAAGGGAGAAAACTGCTTGTCTCAGGCATTCTCTCCATTTCCACTTGGAGCCCCGAGAGGCTCGACACCTCCTAGGAGGTGCAAGTTGAGGCAGAAGGTATCCAAATCTTCCCCCATCTTCTGCATCCCATCACAGGCTAAACACATCTTCCCCCATCCCTCACAGGCTAGGCTGCCACCCCATCTTACGCTCCTGGCCGGGCAGGACACCCCCACAGTTAGATTGTGTTGGGAGTGTGCAACTTTCCAGATGTGGATTGGTGTGTGAGTAGGCGAGGAGCACGCCTGGGTCCAAGGCATTTGGGTGGACATTGGGGTGATGACATATGTCGTGTAAAAATGAGCCCCAAGCAGGTCACAATCACCCGGTTGAGTATGACTGGAGTCAAGAGTATGGTTGTTGCAGGAAGTGTACCTGCCACCTTTCCAAGTCCTGGATACCTGCATCTGTGTTGCCTGGCTCTCTGTGCTCGAATGCCTTTTCCAGCAACCTTGTGGGGACTGAGCCTTGAGTTTCCAGTGGGAAGAGTCCACCTTTAACCCAGCTCCTGTTCTTCTCATGGCCCTATAACAAATGTCACTTTCCCTAGGATCCAAGTGAACGATCTGCTGGTGGAGGTGGACGGAACAAGCCTGGTGGGAGTGACCCAGAGCTTTGCAGCCTCTGTGCTTAGGAACACCAAAGGCCGAGTGCGGTGAGAGTCAGGGAACAGTCAGAAAGCTAGTCTACTCGGCACCAGGTCCCTGCCTGGGGACTTGTGCCCACAGCCCCTGCCAGGCCTGCCTTCCCATCCCTGGATCACTGGCTGCTGTTCACCACGGGGACTCCTGTTCCTTCATGTTCACTTGGCTTTTCTCCTTCCCTGCTTCTGCCTCTGACTCACCTATTGAAAACCAAACTCGCTTCTCCCACTGAGAGCTTCATCCCAGACCCGACCCATATCCTGTTGGTTAGGTGGTTCCACTAAAGAAGCAGAAGTCTGTGCACACCTCCGGCAGGACACCTGGGGACTGCTGCCTGCCCCACTTCTAGAGGAGCGCTGCCCCCAGGAAAGGGTGTTGGAGAGAAACAGGATGTGGGTGGCCTAGGGAGGAGGAGCTGGTGCCTGGAAGTCCCACTGTTTCCTCCCCATACTAATCGCAGTTGCCATCACCCTGCCCCTTCCTGACCAGGGGCTTGGAAGGCACCCAAGACACCTCTACGGTCTATTCCCCATCCCCTAGGATGGGTCATTTTGCCCACTCCTGTGCTTTTGGTTTGGTTTGGTTTTGTGGTGGTTGTTTTCTCATGGGTTGCAACAGCTTCTATGCTGGGAGCCCCTGAGCCCGTGTTCCCTGTAGCCCAGCCCAAAGTGTGGTTGACACCCCCTTCCCACAGCAGGCCAGGGAGGCTAGCAGGTCTTCCTGCTTCTCCTGGTAGGCAGCCCTGGGAGAGCCCAGCTCCCCTATTCATTATTAACTCCACAGCTTCTGGGCTCAGGCTCTCAGTTCACCTCCCCTGGGAAGGCCTAGGTTTGGAGGGAGGGCCCCACACAAGGAGGGCAGTGGCATTCCCAGCTGTAGACAGGCTGGGATGACGCCAGAATGACAGATGACTCTGGTGCCCCTGCAGGTTCATGATTGGCCGGGAGCGGCCTGGAGAGCAGAGTGAAGTGGCCCAGCTAATTCAGCAGACCTTGGAGCAGGAGAGATGGCAGCGGGAGATGATGGAGCAGAGATACGCCCAGTATGGAGAGGATGATGATGAGGTAGAGCCATGACTGCCCTCTGGTGGTTAGATGAAGCAGCACAGTCATTTGCCTCTACTTTTTCCAGGCTTGATGAAACAAAAAGCAAAAACAAAACAGCAACAAAAACTCCCCAAGCCCCGGGGGAGTTTATGTTCTGAGAGAGAAGTAGACCCTCCCCTCAGAGAACTCCTAGTCAAATGGAAGAGTCCTACTCTTCTGTCTCACTGTAACTAGAAGGAAAACACAATCTACTCTGAGTCCTTACTCTGAGGGCAGGGTAGAGCCCCTAATCTAGGGAACCTGATTAGGAGAAGGATGGATTCTCAAGGAAGCCAAGTTATGGAGAAAACAGTACAGGAAGGTTCTGCAGGCTGTCAGTGTCTAGCCATGGAGACTCCCTGGTTTGTTCCCGGTCCAACATGAGCATACTGCTGCCAGTCTCTGGCCTGAAAGCGGGGTTGCTGAGGGAAGTGGAGTAGACGGACCCACATTGTCTGCGTTCCTCCACAGACAGGAGAGTATGCCACCGACGAAGATGAAGAACTGAGCCCAACGTTCCCAGGGGGTGAGATGGCCATCGAGGTGTTTGAACTAGCAGAGAATGAGGATGCGCTGTCCCCTGTGGAGATGGAGCCCGAAAAGCTGGTGCACAAGTTCAAGGAGGTTGGAAGAGGGGCCCCGGGGCAGTTGGGTGAAGGCAGGTGGGTAGCTGGCCCTAGGAGCTGAGTGCCACCCTCTGTCTGCAGCTCCAGATCAAGCATGCTGTCACTGAAGCGGAAATCCAGCAGCTGAAACGGAAGGTGAGGGTGTGCATGCGTGCTCGTGTGCATGTGTGTGCATATGTGTGCATGCAGAAGAGCTGGGCTGAGGGCTGGAGGAAGGAGCTCTGGCACACTCACCCCCCCTTATGTATGACAGTTCATCATGGGCTACTGTGAGACCAGAGATACCAGGATTAAGAGCCCAAGAGCTGTGGCCCATCTGTTCCCCTATTCATTCACTGGGTCTCTTTCCCCTCATGTGTAAGGTGTGGTGTAACAGCATAGAGCTGTGTAGATGAGAAGCCAACAAGACGATACATGGAAATCTACAGCAGATACAGGAAATCTGCATCCTGCTTCAGGGGCGGTGCTCAGTCAAAAGTCAGTATCAGCAATTCCATGTTGATGAACCAAGTCTTACTCTTGATGTCTGTGTTTAGTGCTCAGCATGCGTCCACTCTGCCCGGGGCCCTGAGATGAGATAGAGGCTTTTTGACTCCCTCGAGTACACAGCAGTGCACATAGTGACACATACCAGCCTGAACCACAGCCCCATTCACTCAGACACCTACACACTCCATCTGCACAGATACAATTTCCAGACACCCATGATTGATTCTGTCAGAGGCACTGGCCTGAGAAGGTAGACCTACTCTGCCCTTGAGGTCACAGAAACATACAAACATGACCACCATTCAGGCCACCTAGTCTAGGAAGAGTGTCCGAGGACGTGCACATTTTCACCTGGGCCAGCATCACACATGGCTGGTTCTAACAGCACCAGCTGGTAACACACATGGCTACTGTACATGCATACCAGATGCTTACAAGCACATTGGGTACCCACATGCTCCCAGGCATTGTAGACACACAGATTTTCTATATATTGAAGGAGTCCCAACTCCCACGGGGTTTCCGGGATAGTAGGAGAAACCAATCTCCAGGGGCCATGAAGATACATCGCAACAGGAATGCGTGTATCTTCTCCATAGGTAGAGGAGGGCGTCCGGGGCAGAGCAGGAGTGTCTGGGTGGGAGCTTGCAGGCTGGCTTTGGGAAGAGGCCTGGCAAGCATGGTAGCTGTTCCTGCTGGGAGAGGTGAAGAGGCAGCTGGCTGATGGGAAAGCTAGAAAATGACACCGTATAGATGTCGCCCTTCAAGAACTGTAGCCTCCATCCTACAGGCACGGAGCTGTGGACCCTAGGATATTTTTGGAAGTTTACCACCTAGGAAATGGAGGCAGGTGTGGGAAGGGGATTTTGGGGGTAAGAAAGACTTGAATAGACAAACTGGTTAGAGGCCCTGGCAGAGGCTGTTAAGGTGAGTCAGAGTACAGGCCAGGGATGGGAAGGCAGGGCAAGTGAGACTGCATTTCGGGAGTCTTCTCAGGGCATGAAGCAGACAGTGGGTCACAGGTGGTTTCAGGCTCAGAAAGCAGAGCGGCATTCAACTGACAGACATCTAAGGTAACTTCTAGATAGCTAACCCCACATCAGGCACAGTTATGAGGAAAGGCAGAATTGATCCTTGTCCTTGTGTGTCTTACGAGTCTGCATATTGTTAACGGTTGTTACTACCTGAAGAGTTACTGATCCTGTAGGAAGAACCCCATCCGCTTGCAGGGCAGGGGATGCTGCCCTACTGTAGTCCCAGCAGGCTCCTCTGGGAAATTGACAACACCGCAAGTGTACAAGGAATGGTAGATGGGGCATTCCTAGCAGAAGGAACAGTCCTTGCAACAGCCCTGTGGCAAGTGTAAGGGTCTGCAGGAAGGCCTGAGGTAGCTAGGCTTAGAAAGCACAAGGTGTTTGCAGCAAGTAAGACACAAGGACAACCAGGACCTGGAGACTGAGTGTTGAGACTGCAATGGGACAGCAGCACCTTCCACCAGGCAGTTGAAGAGAGGAGGCTTCAGACCAGGGAAGAGTGCTGTTTGGGACATGGTGCCTCTGAAAGGCTGTGAGGTAGGACTAAATTAGGTGCAGGGTCTGGCAGGAGCTCAGGAGTTGGAGCTCTGTGCATGGAGGTGCTGTGGGAGGTGGTGCTGTGTCTTGAGGAGACAGAAGAATGCAGACTGAGCTATGAGGAATACAGTCTCCTAGGAGCTGGAAAAAAGCTGGATTGTTGAAGAGTCTCTAGGGTTAAGGACTGGTCAGCACACCAGGGCTGCAGAGGGTGCAGAGCTGGTGGTGACTGTCTTTCATATCCACCATCTTACTAGCCCTGAGGCATGTCACTACTATCCTCTTGGCAGAAGTTTCTAGTTGTTGGTGACTCATGGCCTGCTAGCAGCACTCTAAGGTCAGCCTCAGAGAATTAGTAGTTGGGGGCCAGTTGGCTCCACAGGTGGAAGAGTCCTTAGAGGCTGTTGTCTCCAGGGGCTTACTCTGGTCCCCTCCAACCCAGGGCTGCTCTTTCCTCACAGTTGCAGAGTCTGGAGCAGGAGAAAGGGCGCTGGCGGGTAGAGAAGGCCCAGCTGGAGCAGAGCGTGGAGGAGAATAAGGAACGGATGGAGAAGCTAGAGGGCTACTGGGGTGAGGCCCAGAGCCTGTGCCAGGCTGTGGATGAGCACCTACGGGAGACTCAGGCCCAATATCAGGCCCTGGAGCGCAAGTACAGCAAGGCCAAGCGGCTCATCAAGGACTACCAGCAAAAGTATGTGTCAAGAGCTTTGGGTCTGGGTCCAGACAGGTGGAGAAGCCTTTAGTGGTAGTCCCCAACCCAGCCTTCCTCCAGCTGAAGAGGGAGACAGTGAACAGAGTTAGAGGACACCATGATGGGGTACCAGACACAGGCCCTTGAGGCTTTGGGAAAACCACCTTCATCCTGGACCAAAGCCACACCATACACCCTAATCCACCATCTGTTCCTTGCCTGTCTTCAGGGAGATCGAGTTCCTGAAAAAAGAGACCGCCCAGCGTCGGGTACTGGAAGAGTCGGAGCTAGCCAGGAAGGAGGAAATGGACAAACTTCTGGACAAGGTAGAGGCCTGGGCAGCCTACAGAGGGAGTGTCATGGAAACCGGAATCCAGTACTCAGTCAATGGTGTTTGGGAGGGATTGTGGTGCTGGCTGGGAGCTCAGGTCATAGCCTAGGCTGGGGGCGAAGGTTCAGACTCTGCTCAGTGGCCAGGCCTGATGCCTCCTCTCTTTGTTCTTTAGATCTCAGAACTGGAAGGAAACCTGCAAACACTGAGGAATTCCAATTCTACTTAACAGGAATAACTCCTTGACCGGACAATAATAATCCCCTCCCATTATCCTCACCCCCTGTCCTCAATCCCCGCCCCACCCCTACCAGCCTGGGGACAGGTGCCCCGACTTTCCCTACTCCTCCGCCCCACCTCCCCCAGCTTCAGGGACCAGAGGGCCCATATTACAGGCCCCTTTTGGGTGGCCAGGGCAGACAATGCTGGCTGGAAGAGTGGCCTCCTTGCCCTGTGTGAGGCTGAGGCGCAGAGGCCGAGAGAAGCTAAGAGCTGGCCTGGGTGGTGGATGGACACAAGGACCTGCAGACCAAACTGCCAGACTTTATAACCTCCAGCCTGTGTCTCTGGACCGGAGTGGAGCTGGGGCTCTCCCAGCATCTCACCACTTGGAGGCTGCTCCCTGCCCACAGGGTCCGCATGGCCCCTGGGCCTCTTGACTTGAGATTCTCCGTTCTTGGCCCTTTCCTCTTCCCCATCATTGTGCTGTCTGTTGCATTCTGGCCTCCTGCTTGGAGGGGTTGCCTCAACATCTCCCACCCCTGCTCCCCGTCCCAGGAGGGATAGAGCCCACCCTTGAGCCAGAGGCTGGGCCTGGGCCTGCACTGATTTCTCTTGTATCCTTCAGGGGGAGGTGAATGGGATTAGGGGAAAGGGTAAGTCCAGAACACCTGGAATCCAGCTCCCTTTCCTAGGAAAGGCAACAGCCCTCCTCAACTTCTCCTTGTGCCTCCCCTCTCCCAGGTGCCAAACAGCCATAGGACTCCTCCTGGAACTGCCCTGAGGCCACTCCAGGGGCCTGCGGGTTTCCTTGGTCTAGCCTAGGAATGTCAGGAGGGAGGGAGGGAAGTCAGCTTAGGTGTTGTGCCTGCAGAGCTCTCCCTGGGGAGCTAGGCCCTGCTTTGGGCCACACCTGGAAGCCTTGTATTAACATCAAAGGGACTCAGCCTCCCCTCCTCCACCCCCCCCACTGTTTTCCAATGTTTTCACTGGAGGGGAAAATTTTACTACTTTTTGGAGACCAGGGCTGCTTGCTGTCAGCCTGCTTTCTAAGTGAAATTGACTCAGTTTCCCCACTTTAACCCCAAATTGGGGCTTGGACCAAGGGAGGTGAGACCCCCTCAGGTACCCTCCCCTTTCAGAATCCATCTCTTGCCATTTCCACATACCACCCCCCCTGCCCTAAGCCTAAGTTTCTGTTGCTTTTTTTTCTTTTTAAAATAACTCAGTTCTATCCTTTTTGGTTTCTCCCAGTCCCCTGTAAATAGACCACACCATCAATCAGTATTTCTTGCCCCTCTCTTCCTCCCCTAGACGTGCCCCGACTCCCCAGAAAGAGCTGGCTGTCACAGTGCCCGGCCCCTGCACTTCACCTAGGCAGATGGAGGGGGCGGAGCCGGGTGGGCGGGCCCTCGATGTACTTCCGGTTTTGGCCGGCAGCACTCCTGCCCTGCCCTTGGAGGACCCCGTCTCTGTATATAATATATATATATGTATGTATTGTTCCTGGTTTTGTACGGACCATGCCCTCTGTCAGGTCGTCCCCATAAAAGCAGCCCCCAGAGCCTCGCCGCCTGGTTTCTTGATGCGCTGTTGTAGGGGTGGGAAGGGATGCCAGAAGATCCTCTCCTTTTCCTCATTTTGCACAGGATCTAGAGAGGATCTTAATGCTAGTTCAGTTCTCTAACCCCAGCAAACTCACTTGCCACCATTCCCCAGTTTTCTTGAGCTCTCTAAATGGTGTCTTTAGGTCTGTTTTTCATGAGGTCTTTAGAGTAAACCAGAGGATGAGCTGAATACAGCGAAAGCAACTCACCTTTCCTGAGAACCAAGCAATCTTCAAGACCCCAGAGGTCTCCTATGAAGTACCAGGAGGACCAAAGATTTCCTAGAAGATAACTTGTCCAGAGCATTGTCCTTAAGGTCAAAAAGAAAGTTCTTTGTCCCTCCTGAGCTGCTTGAGAGGCCCCGTATAGTCCTAGCTGCTCCCTTAGCTAGCTTTCAGTTCCAGGGACAAGTTTTGGTGAATCTGGGAAGCGAATTGTAATGAGACTTCTGCAGTAAATAGCACAGCCTTTTCTTGTACGGATCCTGGGAGGCAAATACTATGTTCAGTAGCTTGGGGTGAGGTTGGGGGATGATTCTCATCTTCTCTGATAAGAAAAGTCCCAGTCTCCAGGCTCTTTGGCCTGGTTAGCCCCTGATGGCATTAGAGAGGAGTGGTCTCTATAAGAATGACACTAACAGCCCCGGGGGAGCCATTCCCTAGTGGCTAGTTCCATTGCAGAACTCAACACTCCTGCCAGGCCAAATAATGGCTTCCTGTTACCTACCCTCAAAACTGGTTCTGCACCTCAGGGCCATGGAGCACCTGTCCAGCTCTGACACCTACTTTAGAGTCGTCAGAAAACTAGCAATGCTGGTGGTCTCTCAGTGCGTTTCCTCGCATCATCCTTGGAACATTGGGAGTATAGGGAATATAGGTAGATCCAGGTGTTGCTGAATCCCATGATAACAGCTTCCCCAAACATGAAGACTCAGGTCAGCATGGCTAGGTGAGAAGTCCCTGAACCACAGAACCGCTAACTCCCTGTTCAGGAATCCTTGCTGGGAAATGAAGTGGGTGGCCCTTCCTGGGTGGCGGGGACAAATGTGGGGTTTTTAGTACCTGTGCCTACCTCATCTAAGGGACCTTCCTAGATAGTCCAAGGAATGGTTGGATGGTACTTCGTGTTTAAATATTGAGCATGTTGTATGGCTGGGCACCTTGTGTATGTCTTTTCTGGGAGTTTCTCAGGCCTGAGCTGTGACTTACCCATGAAATATGTCCATTCGGGGGTCTGTCAAGTGGTTTGGAGAGATTGTGGTCATATTAATTCCATCAACCAAAGTAGATAACCCATTACCATCATCTACTGGGCTCTGGGAGCTTGGTTAAATCTGCCATAAGCCAAGCATTTGCTGCAGGGGAAGAGATCAGGTAGGTTTTTCCCCATATCTCAGCACCTTAGGTCTGACTAGGAAAAAGAGTTCCATTCTTGCATTGGAAGACACACACACACACACACCCCTCCTATAATAACCCTAGAGCAGCAGTTCTCAACTGTGGGTCACGACCCCCTTCCCAGGGATCACCTAAGACTATCCAAAAACACAGATGTTTACATTATGATTCATAACAGTAGCAAAATTATAGTTATGAAGTAGCAACAAAGGTAATTTCATGGCTGGGGGTTACCACACCATGAGGAACTGTATTAAAAGGTTGCAGCGTCAGGAAGATTGAGAACCACTGCCCTAAAGAGTGGTCGCCAGAGACATCATCTCCTCCATGTGAACCTACAGTCTAACCAGACTTTCAGCTGGTTCTCTGTCTATCCAGAGGTCCTCCAGCTCTGGGATGCTCTGAGCCCCATTGATGCTATTCCCACTCACAGTTCTTGGGAACTCTTGGCTCAACATGCTGCTTCCCACAGGCCTTTGGCAGTGGCCCATTCCCACAAGCCATCAGGAGTACTCTAACGATCCAGACTCTACTACACTAAGTCTTAGGCTTTCTCCAAGGTCACCACTTACTCCTAAACAAGTCATTTTCTTATTGTGAGTGTGTGGCCTGTGCACCTTAGAGGACAAGAGAAACCCCTAACTTAGAGGTTTATTGGGAAGGTGACGTTAAAGAATCTGAGAGGTACCTGACACACCACGAGCCTTGCTGCATGGTATCTAGCTGATGACCACACCCACCACCACTGACCTGCCACCACCTCTGGCTTGCCAGGTCCAAGTCTGAGCTCATCCACTCCACGTCCCACCCCTAGCATCAGAACTGCCAGGCCCTCCAAGACCCACAGCCAACCTAGACCCCTCCTTCTCAATTCTTTGTCCAGCCGGCTCCAAATCCTGTCTGTGTCTTCAATTCTATAGCCAGAATAGCTCTCAGCCTGATCTGTAATCTTCATGCCCACTGCTGTCATCGTTCAACAATCCCTTGAGGCCAGCGCCCAGATTTCCGGCTGCTATTTGCAGTCCGTTCTTCACTGGGGTGCCCAACGAGTCTTCCTAAAATCATGATGGAACACCTCCCTCCTCCGTTAACCTTTTTTTTTTTTTGAGGGGGGCCAGGAAGTAGTATAATAAAGTGTCAACTCTCCAACCTCAATTTTCTATGCTGGTCCATCCACCCTGCAATGCCCAGGAGTAAGTCTCCAATAGCTTGGACAACAGGAGTAGCCACACTTCTCTAGGAATCCTCCCTGTGACCTACTCCAGTGCCTGGGTGCACGCCCCCTCCAGAATTTAAAATATCTTTCCCGCTACTGGACCCACAGCTCTCAGGCTTGGGTCATCCCATTTGGCTGAATTCTGATTGCACTGGACCACGTCTGTTCTGTTCAACCGCGGTCCCTTTCTGCTTCAGCGCCCCAGGCTGGCCGCTACGCAGATGCTTGTTGAATAAAAGAGAATCAGAAGCCCTCACAGACCCTGCAGAGGAGGCGGAAAGCCCCGTGCGTCCTGAGGCAGGACCGCCTCCCTGGTTGCTTCCCTGCCACTCGCGCGCAGACTCCCTAGCGTCGAGACTCCCGCGGTCCGAGAAGTAGCGGCAATTGGGATCCCCGGCCCGGCCGCAGGCACCCGCCGCCTCCTCCCCTCGGTCCTTGCTGCCTCCGCCCCGCCCGCCCTCCTCTTCCCTCCTTTCCTACCGCTCTTTGTCTCCGGGGCGCCCGGCCTCCCCACAAGCGCCCCCCCTCATCGCCTTATCCCGGGCGACGCGACCCCCCACGGACCTAGCCACTGCGACGCTGCACAAATCAGCCGGTGGCGCGAGGGTCCGCGACCTCCGGGGCTTGGCGGGGGCGGGGCAGGAGGTGACTCTCAGGCGCTCTCTCTCTCTCTCTCTCTCTCTCTCTCTCTCTCTCTCTCACACACACACACACACACACACACACACACACACACACACACACGTACACGCACGCACACACGGAGCATCCTCCCGTCAGGTTTCCCGGTCCAGCCCCGCCCGCACCTCCTGCTTCCCGCAGACCTTCTCCCTGCATCCCTACACACCTCGCCTCTCCATTCTTTCCGGCTCCGGGACTTTCCCCACCGATCCCCCACAACACCCTGGGATGGAGCGACTCCAGCCAGCCCGGAGCCCCCCGCGACCGGGGTGAAAGTCCTTCGCCCCTCTCCTGCCCGGCACTTGCCCCGAACACCATGGGCCTGAGGGGTTCCCGGGGCGCCGGACGCTGAAAATGACGGATGCTGGAGGTGAGGGGCCGGGTCCCCTAGGGTGGAAGGGGAAACGTGGCCAGAGACTACTGAACTCAAGGTGGGACCCTCAGTAGGGCTAAATGGATCTAAGCCACAAGGGCCCTTTTTCCTCTGTCCCTAGGGAGACCTCACTGGACTGGGGAGCTGGGCTGTCGGGTGGGGACAGAAATAGGGTTTGTGTCCCTAATCCCCTTTCTCCAGGCTGAAGAAATTAATTTGAATTAATGAGAGAGAGAGAGAGAGAGAGAGAGAGAGAGAGAGAGAGAGAGAGAGAGAGAGAGAATATGAAGAAAAAAAAGAAAGAAGAACAACTGGTGTGGGGGCAGGGGGAGAGGCCTTAACCCCTTCCTATCCGACAGTTAGACCTGTGGGTTGAACTGTTCTACCTCTGAGATTAGAGAGGGGACTCTATGATAAGAGTAGGTGCCCTGTCCACCAACCCCATCTTCTAGGATGCTTGGACCAGCTGTCAAACTCCTGCGGACTGCTCCAAGCCTGGGGCTGGCTGAAGGCTGAGGGCATGGGAGGGGCTCTGCTCCTAGCTCAACAACTGCTCCTGCACACTAGCCTGTATGTCAACCACTTCTGGGACTTGTCAGCTCTCTCTCTCTCTCTCTCTCTCTCTCTCTCTCTCTCTCTCTCTCTCTCTCTCTCTCTCTCTTCCCCCCTCCTACTTCCCTCTCTCCTACTTGGGCCCCTTTCTCCCCTCTTGCTTGTGGGGCAGCGGCAGGCTTTCTGTTCTGCTCTCTCACCCCATGGTGGGGCATCAGGGCTACCCAGCTCCTTTCCCTGAGCCTCCCGGTCCATTCTTTCTTGATCTTTCTTCTCAGCTCCCTGTGGACACTGCAGATTTCTACCTCTGAATCTGCTAGTTCCTCTTCTGTTCCATCCCCAGGTTGTATGCCTTTTGTTTTGCTTTCTCCTTCCCTTGGGCTCCAGGTAGCTTGGAACTCACCTGCCTTTCCTTTTCCCCGAGAAATGTCAGAGGTGACTAATGGTCCTCCAGGAATTGGTAGCTGTTAGGGGAAGGGAGTGGTCTGGTGACAAGGGAGCCCAAAGGTTGTCCAAGGGAACAGGTTCACTTGCATCCTCATGTAGTTGAACACCCAGGAGTAAAAGATTGTGAGCAGAAGTGGGAAGACGGGTAAAGGTGGGTATCTAATTTTCCTAGGCTGTGTTTTAGGGAGGAGAGAGTTGGGTGACAGGGGCAGGTGACCTGAATATTATACATCCATGGAGTTTTACATGGGATAGTGTGGGAACACACACACACACACACACCCGGGCTGCCACCACAGTTATGGGAGCAGGCTGTTAGAGACAGGGCTGAAGAAAGCAGTTTATACTGAATCAGGATGGGCTGAGAGTCTGAGCTGGAGGCCCCAGTCTACCCAAGGGGGCTAGTGATAGACCTTAGTGCATAACAGGCCCTCACCCCTGGATTGACATCAAGTAAAGAACATGGGCTGGCCTGCTCTGTTTAAGAGAGAAGGTGTCACCACTGTCTGCAGAGAGCAGCCATTCTGGTGGGAGGAGCAGCTACTATCCTGAGTCTCCAGTCTGAAGGGAGAGCACATGGCTCATCTGTCAAGGCGAGATAAGACGCACACAGGAAAGCAGGATAGTATGAAAAGCCCTCCATTTCTCAGGGATCGGAGTCGTAGCTTTAAACAAATGGGGTTGCATCCTAGGACAGAGATCTGGAGAAAGGACGGCTGGATCCTAATCAGAGAAAGCTTTGCAATCCAATGAGAGATACAGTTTATGTCGAGGACCAACCTACCTTACTCTGGCCTCTCAGGCCTGGAGAGAATATTCTAGATATTCAGGGGGCTATTAGACCCCAGAGTTCAAGAACAGCAAAGGGGTCCCTTGCTGAGACATCCTTGACCTCTCCCATATGGCATTGTTTGGCTCAGCTCCAAGCATCCCTCTAGCCTAGTGGAGGTGGTTTTAATGCTTGCCTTAATCCTAGCCAGTGCAGACCAGCTCCCGCTCCCTTTACCCCAGCCCTCCCCTGAGAGTATCCTTTCCTCATGAGCAGCCCCGGAACTACAGATCATGCCTTCAGGATAGAGCTGAGATCAGGAGATGGGTCAACATCCACCTCTAAGCTCTTGCATATTAATGTTATATCTGTAAAGTGGGGCTACCGAGATGCCAAGACTAGCAGCTCACAGAGAAATCTCTATGCAATGACAGGAGAAATAGAGGGCATGTGGCCTGGTCCAGTGCCCTACCCTTCTCCCAGGGACCAGAGTATTAGAAGTAACTGGAAATTATGTCTCAGCTGTTGAGTGTCTCCCTAGCCTGAGCCATCCCTCTATTCTTATCCCATGTCTTCTATACCTGTTAGGAAGCCTGTTCACAGTGTTTCTGATACATCCGTTTCCCCTGCTTCCCTTCCTTACCTGCTTTCTCTTCTTGCTTCCGACCACAAAACCAAACCAAATACCAAAACCTAAACAGTACAACTCTGTCCATCCACACTCCTTCCCAGAACATTCTGAACGCTCTAGAGATGTTCTTCTGTGAAAACTTAATGTCTCCATCCATCTGCAAGTCAAGGACTGTGGGGACTGTGGGTCTGTGTGAAACAGTGAGTGGCCCTGCTGGTGGTGCTGGCTTCCTGAGTAGCTCAAAACAGCAGGTGGTGAGGGCCCTGGTGACTGGTGACAGAGGAAGAACTGATAGATGCAAAGATGGGTAGAGGCATGGACATATAGATGTTGGATGGATAGGGTACGCAGTGGAAGGGAAGGGGAAGGAAGGGCAAGCAGATAGATAAAAAGGTAGGTAGCTAAATGGCTGGAAGAACTTGGGTTTTAGATCTGGAGTTGCCATTAATTGCCTCAAGATCTTGGGCCAGCCACCCCTGCTTCTGTTTCTGTGTAAAACGAGAGATCTGGATTTAATCTTTTGTGTGACTTCTAGATTTGATGCCGGACACTTGATGATGCTGGAGCCTTTTAGGGGGTGCTAGTGACTTGAAGGCCTTACGCAATGCAGGGACTGATGTCCCTGGTCCCAGCTCACAGAGGCTGGCTATGCCTGGATTGGCTTTGCTATGGCTTTCCTGATGCTGTCTCCTGCCTCTGCCCCCACAGGCTCCTCTTCCAAGGGTCAGAGGAAGAGCGCTAAGGAAAGGAAGCGGGTGGGCAGGACGCTAAAAGCTAGTGACTCTTTACTGTCACAGCCAACTGGAGCCATTTCATTTATCCAGGATAATCAATCTCTCTCTCCCCCCCCCCCCATTCTCTCATCCTTCCCAGCTCTCTTGAGTCATGGCTTCCTCAAAGCTCCGAGAACCTGTGGATGAAGTTTTTGGTAAGTTCTGTGTGATTTGGTGTCTAGCGATAGACTAGACGTAGCCATGGACCCCTTCCTTCAAATCTAGTAGGCATTGAGCGGGGGAAGGGCAGATAGGGTGCTTAGGGTTCTTCAAGTACGTGGGGAACAAGTGATCACACATGCAGTGTATCATTTAATTCTCAAAATAATGTTAGATGCACAGACAAGGGGTGTAAGGTGCAGATGCTGACGGGACCTGCTTTAAAGATCACAGGGAGGCAAGTGAGGTGGTGCAGCCGTTAAAGGCATTAGCTGTGCGCCCTGAGTTTGATTCCCACTCACATAAAGGTGGAAGGAGAGACTCCACTCCACAAAGTTACCCTCTGACCTCCACATGTGTGCTCTGATGTGCACACTCTTATTCACACTTCATGCTCACACTCACACAGGCACACACACTAATTATAATAATAATTTTTAGAAAATAGCATGAAAGCGTGAAGACTTGAGTTCAATCCCAAACACCCACTTGAAAACTGGGCACAAGGTGGGCATAGTGGCACACGCCTTTAATTCCTGTACTTGAGAAGCAGAGGCAGGCGGATGTCTGTGTGTTTGAGGCCGGCCTGATCGACAGAGAGAGTTCCCAGACAGCCAGGGCTACATAGAATAATCCTGTCCCTTCCCCCTCAAAAAGGCTGAGCAGTGCACACCTCTAACTCTAGTGCTGGAGAGAGAAAGAAAGGATTCCCTTTATGGCCAGCCAGTTTAGCCAAATCAGTTAGCTCTAGGTTCAGTGAGAGACCCCGTCTCAAAAACTCAGGTGGAGAGGGATTGAGGACACCAACCTCTGGCTTCTATGCATACATGCTCATCTATGCATAGTTAAATATGAATGAATAAATAAAGCACATGGCAAATTAGTGGCAGAGTCGGGAACCTTAGAGAGCCTGGCTCCCAGCCCTTCGACACCGCGCTAAACTTCTGTATACTCCAGTTCAGACGCCATACGTTTTCTTCAGGTCACATGTATAAAGTACCTGAGATCTTATCCTACACACACACACACACACACACACAGAGAGACACACACACACACAGAGAGAGAGAGAGAGAGAGAGAGAGAGAGAGACCTCCATGCCTTCAGCGTCCTCTGGTGTCTGCACACACTGCCATTTTGAGAGATCATCCTACCAGGGCAGAGCTGTCTGCAGGCTATGGGCTGTGTCAGTGTTGTGGAAAAGCTGTCCCCCAGCTTGATTTGAGTGGGTGATTCCTGGGTCTAACTCCAAGGGGCTCCTACCCATGGGATGCCACAGGGCTCCAGCTTCTCCTGCCTTCTCCCATCTCTGCCTTTCTCTCTTCTTTTCCCTCCTGTTGTCACCACTGGTCCTAGTCCCTGCCAGTATTGTTACCTCAGTCCCTTTGGGAACACTGCTCCCTACAATGGCCTCTACCCGCCAGCCCCCAACACTTCCTTATCTCTGAGGCTGGCTCTACATGGGTCCAGCCTAACCTTGGCAGGTCCATAGAGGTGAGCTTCCCTTGGTGGGAGAGGGATTTTCTTTCTCCTCTGTCCCCACCTCCTATCCCAGGCTCCTCACCAATCCTTCCTTGTTTTCCTCCTGTCTGCTGAGGTAGCTGGGCGCTGCCTGGAGTGCTTCCTCATATGAAGACCATTAAATATTCATCTCTCCCACTGCCCAGAACCCAGAGCCAGAGGCAGGGAAGGGAAGGGAAGAGATGGAAAAAGAGTTTAAGGTGCCCTGGTGAGACTGGCCCCACCTTGCCTTGTACCCCCAAGCCCTCAGGATACCCTTTGCTCTCCACACTGTGGGTGATACCCATTTGGCCATGTGAAGCAAGGACCTATCACCCTGGTGCACACGGCTGAATACTAGCTGGGTGCCATGAGCGGAGAGGTGTTCAGAGCACTGGCTCAGGGGCCAGGAGACCTGGATACCACGTTGACTCTCTCCACGCAGCTGACCAAACCTCTCTTGTCTGAGTTCAGTTTCTCCACCCGGTAAATGACGGCTTAGATTCAATGTTGCCTCTTTCTCCGTTCAGAAAGGTCACAGCTGATCTGTCTGCTGCCTCCAAACAAATCAGACTGCCTGTCTTTAGCCCTAGCTAGCTCTTGCCAGCTCTATGCTCTTGGGCAAATTAAGGCTGCCCTGGGGATCCTAAGTCCTGTCTTCCAAGATTGTAGGAGGTTTCAATGACCGGTAATTGTAAGGCACTTAGAGCAGTGTGAGCTATTACTGGCTTCTGGCCGCTTCCAGGGGCACTAGGAAGTTCTTCATCAGAACTGAATTCAGGGAGTCGCATCTGGATCCAAAAGAGCAATCCTGACAGTAGCTGTCTCTTCCCAGCCTTCACCACACCCTTGGACAGTCGCCATGGCCTCTGAGCCTACTTCCATCTTCAACCAGGCTGTTCCTTAGCATCTCAAGCCCAGAGCTGTACCATACCCCCTCCTTAGAAAATCTCCTTTTGGCTCTGTTTACAACCAAAGCTTAGTATGGTGGGCCATCCAGGCCTCAGCCTGGCTATCAGATCGGAGCCCTGGTTGATAGCGTTTCCTTGTCCATTCAGGATAATTCATTATGTACTCTTCCTTTTTCTTTTTCATTCTGTTTGTTTGGTTTCAGTGTTTTTGTTGTTGGGTTTTGTTTCTTTGTGTTTTTGAGACAGGGTTTTTCTCTGTAGCCTGGCTTTCCTGGAACTCACTCCATAGACCAGGCTGGCTTCAAACTTAGGGATCTGACTGCCTCTGCCTCCTGAGTGCTGGGATTAAAGGCGTGCACCACCATCACCAGGCCCCCTTTCTTCTCTTAAAAACAAGAGTATTACTAGGCACCAGTTATGCACTAGTCATAGACAGAAAACCTGACAGTTTAATGGATGGAAAGAAGCAAAAAGCATAAATGACAAAGACATTCAGGATGCCAGAGAGTGACACATGACATAGGAAACAACAGGAATGGTCCTTTGGAGTATATGGAGGGTGTCATGTGTGCAAAGACTTTGAGGTGCAGGCTGGATCCCTGTGAGGAAGGCTGGGAAGAGGGGACAGACGCAGACGCGCAGAGATGTAAGTGGGACACAGACTGAACCTAGAAGGCCACTGGGGGAACCCTGGCTCTGATTCTGCATGAGATGGTTCTGAGCAGGGGATTGACAGAGTTGACACATCCAATCAGAATCACTCTGGCTGCTGTGTTGAAAATCTGCTAAGTGGGAAAGGGGAGAGGAGGCAGGAGATGGCAGAGACCTAGACCTAGCGCCGTCCCTCCCTCCCTCCCCCTCCTCTCTGTATGCGCACGTGTATTCATGTGTATGCTCACTCATAAACAATATTTCGCTGACAAAGCCTAAGAGCTTGGGCTGTAGAGTGGGCAGTTTACAGCAGGTGATGCTCTTGTACAGGACCCAAATTCAGTTCCTAGTACCCACCATCAGGCAACTCACAACAGCCTGTAACTCCACCTCTAGGGGATCCGACACCCTCTCCTGAACTGTGAGGCTACCTGCATCCTAATGTATACATGCCACCCCCAACGTGTACACATAGCTAAATAATAATAATAAAAATGAAACCCTCAGACATCCTCAGAAGTAGAGAGAAAAACACAGTGCACCTTATGACCTGCTCAGTAGTCAGGATTTAGGAAGGCTGAGGGGAGAAGGGTAGCTCAGAGCTGTCTAACCTGGGTGACTTGGGCTCATAGACCATTGGTCTAGGGGGCAAGATGCCTGATTAAAGCAAGCCAATGAGGGAAGGAGGGGTAGAGGGCGGGAGGGGACAAGAGAGGGAAGGGGGAGAGAGAGAGAGAGAGAGAGAGAGAGAGAGAGAGA